GCGCTTATACCACAGAGCTATCTCCTCAGCCCAATTTCCCCCTTCCTTATTGGATGTTCCCTCCATCTTTTTTCTTTCCCCCATTTCTCTATCTCTTGATTCCCTTCCAATATGCTGAAGATCTGTCTCTCTGCTTACTATTAGCTATCAAGTCAGAGTTAGAAGTTGTTATATTTTAGGGCTTGAAACATTTCACACCAAGCCCTCTGGACTGTAAGATTTGTGTTGAGAATTTTACTATTATTTTAATGGATTTATCTTTAAAAATGATACATTGCTTTTTTTTGATTCATTGCTTTTAACTGACAGCTTTTAAGATTTCATCCCTGTGTTGGAGTGGTGGCTTTTTTCACAATATGTGACACGGAGAGGTGCTTCTTTGGTCATGGCTATATAAAGATGTATATGCCTCACTTATCTGTATGTTTATATTTTTTCCTATATTTGGGGAGTTTTCTACTATTAGTTCTATGAACAGGATTTTTAGGCTGTCTATTCTACCTTTACCTTTCTCACTTAATCCTGTTACTCTTAGATTTGTCTTTGAATCATCTAGCAGCTGTTGGATTCATCTTTAAATTTCTCTTGTGGCTTTTAAGTTGGCTTTGATCTGTGGGCCCTTAAAAGGCTTCCTATCATCTAATTATTTGTACATATTATTCACATCTGCTGCCCAGACTTTTAACATAATTTTTTTTTAATCTTCTGGATTTTTTTTTTTTTTTTGCGGTACTGGGGATTGAACTCAGGACCCTGCGCCTGACAGGCAAGCGCTTATTCTACTGAGCTATCTCCCCGACCCCCATCTTCTGGATTTCTAACTGGAAACTTTTCCAGGACTCCAATTCTTTGCTAAACTGTTTATTCCTATCTTGTATCTTGTTTAGGTCAGCTGTTTTTTATTAATGTATTTTAAATATTCCTTGGTAATTTTGGCTATTACTTCCATTATATTTTTAGTTATATTTTTTGTAACCCCGTGAAAACCTCTTTGATCTGTTTTCTAACCTCTTGTATTATCCTTGCAAGTAACTGGGGTATGTGGCTTATGCTATTTTCCCCTCGTATTGCTAATGTCACCCATTCATGACAACAGTTATTTGACCCTTGTAATGTCAGACAAATCAGCTACAGTGGTATCACCCTGGAAAACTTGGATATTAACGTACAGTAAGAAGCAATTATGTGAAACCCTTCACCACTGAATAGAAATCCACAATTATAGTATAAATATTAAGGCAACCAGATGTTGACATGCAGTTAATATGTAATAAATATGACAGCTCTAGCACAGCTAACGGTAGAAAAATTCTGCATTAATTTTATCCATATACAATTAATGGAGCTTAATGACTATACTAGTGAAGATATATGGGGAGAGAAAGGAAGTGCTCAAAAAGAAAACTATGAAACCTCCAACTACAAGATGCAAGCAGAATGAGCAACAAGCAGCCCAAAATGTCCTATTAAGGATGGGATGTTCCTTGCATTAGGCAAAGGTAACAGGAAAAGCTGATGAGAAGTTTAAGATAACAGTCAAAAAGGGAGACAAGGAGGGAAATTACATGGAGAATAAAACTAAGGAAAGACTAAAAAAAAAAAAAGGAGGTGAAACGAGATGTGAAAAAGGTAAGAAAATAAAAACAAACGTATTTGTGATTTTGAATGAACAGCTTCCTTTTAGGATCGGGCATTTTGTAGTCTATCAATTTTCAATTTGTTCATTGGCTCCTCTGCTCTGCTCAGGCGGGGGCTGTGTCCAAGTCAAGACATGTCCCTGATCATCCAATCAGATAAGGAAGACAGCCAGACCTTAGATCTGTGCTGGAAGCAGGCAGAAAGGCAAGGGCTTGGAAAAAAAAAGTGCAGATACTTTAAAGTCCAGAGCAACTCAGGCTGGGCCTGACCTCTGGTCATGGGGGCAGGCTCTTCGCCTTTCCCAGCACAGATCAAACCTCGCAGAATATCTCACAGCAGCCCCTTCCTGTCCACAATGATTCTCTCACCCAGTCACTGGGAGAGGGCGACACTGGGACCCTGAGAGTAAAGCTATCCCAGGGCTGTTCTCCCCCTCTCAAACCCTTCACCTTTTCCCAGAGTAGAACCAGGGCTCTCTCCAAGGTTACAAGGTTGGGTATCTGTGAGGGGTCCCTCCTCCTGCTGTTTCCTGTGTAACAATTCTGTGGAAGCAGAACTCCTCACTGTCCCTGCAAATCACAGCAACCTCTGTCCTCACTGAATGGCCACCATTTCTTCCTGCACTCTCCTGAAGTCACCAGGTTCTCCTTTGGTGAGAACCTGATGTACCAGGTCAATAGCTTTAATCCCTTTCTCAAGAACAAGAGAAAATGTTCAGACTGATTTGTTTGCTTCTCCACAGTGTAGTCTTTCTCCTCTACTTCTCTGTGTTTTTACTCTTTCTGTCATTTTCTTCCAGATTCCCGGGGATTTACTTCTGGTTTTTTTTTCTCCCCAAGTTGTGATTTTCCGGAGTCTGGATTCCAAATCTCGGAAAGTCTGAATTGCTGCCACTCACCACTCTCCTACTTTCCAGCACAGAAGGTATGAGGATAACCCACACCCAGGAAAATAAGGGATGCCCACAGAGTCTGGCTTCTCTTAATAGCCTGGAGTCTCCAAAAAGGGTGGCAGTGTGTGAACTGCTCACAATTCTGCTAAGTGGTAGGAGGTGGGTGCATTCAGGGAAGTGGGCACTTTGGTCCAAGAGGTAAACACAAGTCATCACACTGAGCTACATATGGTCAGCAGGAGGAAGACCCCCAGGAGATGGCAGACCCAAATGCTGGGCCCTGCTGGAGGACTGAGGGTATCCTCAGCCCCAAAACAGCAGACTCATAGAGTTTTCCTATTGACTGGGTCAGCCCTGGGAAGTCCTACATGGCATGCTCACTTCTACCATGGGCAGGAGTGTGGAGAGTTATCAGGCAAAGGAGATGCTGGTCTCAGTGTGGGAGGGCAGTTCTTCTCTGGAGGGATGTTCATGAAGGAAGTTAGGCCCAGACAGGAAGAAGATGGAAAAACTAGAGGAGCACACAGGGCTCCCTCATCTCAGAAGATATGGACACAGGTTCTGCTGTCAGCCATGGAGTCCCTACATGTAGGCTATGGGTTGGGTGCCTTTGTACTTCTTTTGAGAATCCTGGAGATCTCAGGGAGATGAGGAACTTGATATGAGAGGGTACCTTGATGTTGGCATAGGGACCCCCACTTAGTCATCAGACCCAGTGGTAGCTAGATCTGCCACGAGTCACAGCAAGGATTCTAAAGAAAGACTGAGGGTACTCTGCACAGAACACAGAGAGGTAGGTTCCCCCTCGCTGCCTTACACCTGTAGTCTTCCCAGAAAGTTTCGGTGGATCTGTAAGAGACTGAGGCATCTATCTCAGTACTGGGTTACTGGTCACAAGTAGGTGAGAGTTTGTTATAAAGGACCTGGGGGGCTGGAGAGATGGCTCAGTGGTCTAAAGCACCTACTTGGAACAAGCTTAGCAAAAGCATCAGGGACCTCGGTTCAATCCCCCAGCACCACATGCCAGCCAGCCCTGCCCCCTGGTGGGCTGAGCTGGCCTCTCTCTCTCTCTCTCTCTCTCTCTCTCTCTCTCTCTCTCTCTCTCTCTCTCTCTCTCTCTCTCTCTCAAATAAATAAATAAAATAAATAAAATTTAAAAAAAAATAAAATAAAGGACCTGGACTCAGGAAAGCAAAAGTAGGATTCTAGACTCTGTCAGGAGTCTAGATGAGGGTAAGGGAAATCCCTCAACGGAGCACAGAGCACCCTCGCCTCAACCATCCCTCTGCTGCATCAGACCTGGGAACACAAGTAGACTGGCTCCCATTTGCTTCCTCTTTGAGTGGCTCCCAGAGATAGGGCTGTGGTTTCAAGAACGGGTGGCCTCAGGTCATCCTAAGAGTCCAAGACCCAAGCATTTATCAAAATAAGGACACAGCAGATTGCCATGCTGTGGCACATGTACCCCTACAAATTTTTCAAACTTCAACTATTGTCCCCAGGCAGCTGTGGCCAAATGTGTGTCCCCTTATTGTCTTCTTTTCACTATTATGGAGGGAAGCACTTTCGGTGAGTTTTCCTCAGACCTATAGAGGGTTGGGGTCCAGGCCCCACTCAAGGACAGTTGTGTGCCCTAAGTGAGCAGAGCGGGGACAATGTACACAGAAATGTATGCACCTTGCTGAGTCCCACCCACCACTCCTATGAGGGCTGTAGGAGCAGGACTTTTTGTGGTCTGCAACCTGAGGGGCCTCAAATGCCTCTTACAAGAGCTCCACAAACCTAGCTGTGGAGGTCGTGGACTGGAGCAGTTTCCACAGTTCACACAGCAGAAGAAGCCTAGCCAGTGTCAGGAGCCAGTGTCAGCCTAGCCAGTGTCAGGAGTCAAGTCTGTGCCTTGAGCCTCTGTCTGGGACTCGATCTACCTAAGAACAGAGGGGATTCCTTGAGCCCATGCCCCCTTGCCTTACTGTCTGTTCTACAGCTTGTACTATGTGGTAAAACTGCAGCTTGCTTGCTGCCCCGGGGTCTTAGAGTCATTGCCTCCAAGAGACAATATCCTGGAAGGCCCTGAAACACCATCCAAAGAGGAGACCAGGACTTGCGCTTTGGGGGAGCTCACAAAAATGTTGTTCTTAGCAGAGAATACTCACAGGCTCTGTGTCTCCTCCAGGTACCTGATTTCTCATCTCCAAGTCCTTGCTTTCCTGAAGGAACGTCCAAACATCTTCACAGTCACCAGAACAAGAACAACAAGCTAGCAGAACTCTGTCCTGTGCAAAGAGGGACACAGGGCTGTGTGCACTTGCTGTTTCTCAAACCCAAGGGAAAGGCAGTAGCAGCCACTGCTTCCTCTGCTACCATATCATCTTATACTTGACTCTAGGCCACACCAATCGAAGTGCCTTCTTTGGACCAGGACCCCTAGCTATCACCAGAATCCAGAGTGTTGTTTCTCCTCCCCACTGCCATGGCTTTCAGTCACCAGAGTCCATGCAATGGGGGTTCCAGTAGGGAAGATGAGAAGGGTGCAGGTAGCTCACAGTACGCACTGCTCCCTCAGATCCTGCAACGTGGGTTCCTAGATGACAAGGTAGCTAAGTTGGTGCCAAACTTGCTATTAAAATATCAAATGACAGAGCTGATCACCAGGGAAGAAATGCTGCACAGTGTCGACAAGGATCACCAGGAGTACTTTCCTCTGATCTTCAGGGAAGTGTGTGAGTGCATGCGTCTGGGCTGTGGCATTCAAGTGAGAGAAATAGATCCCCCTGGCCAAATGTATGCCCTCATCCCTGTGTTGGGTCTTACTTACAGTGGCATGTTGGGTGATGAAGAGATCATTCCTAAAATTGACCTCCTGATAGTTATCCTGACTGTCATTTTCATGAATGGCAACCGTGCTAGTGAGGAGGATATGTGGCAAGTACTGATAGTGAGGGAGATGTTACCTCAGTGGAAGCGCTTTATTATTTGGGAACCCTGGAAATTCATCACTGAGGATTTGGTGCAGAAACAGTATGTGGTATACCAGCAGGTTCCCAACAGTCACCCTGCTCGCTACGAGTTCCTGTGGGGTCCAAGGGCCCACGCTGAAACCAGCAAGATGAGAGTGCTGCAGCACTTGGCCATGGTCTGTAGGAGAGATCCCAGGTCTTACACAGATCTATATGAAGAAGCGTTGAGAGAGGAGCAAGAGGCTGCCCATGAGTGAGGCATGGGCCACTGAGGGTGCAAGATGCATGCCAAGGACAGGGAGTATTCACAGCCGCATCAGTTTCTTAGTTTCTGCCCCACATGAAATGAATCTTATTCCTCAGTCTGTGTCTGTAGAGAGAAGTTACCTTTCTAAATACTGAAAGGCCAGAGGAGGATGGGAAAACAGTGTATACAATCATGATGTCTGTTCTATTTGCATTCCTTGGAAATTGGCATGTGCTATATTTATAATATTTTTGAAAACTTGTTCTTTTTTTACAAGATTAAAGTAGCTTTCACATCTTATTTGAAAAATGATATTGATTTCATGTTTATTTTTAGTTTGTGATATTAATGGTTGGTTGTGACTTCTGATGTAAACGTGAATTTGGTTGATGCTGGTTGTGCAGAAATTTTGTTCTTGGATTTCAAGTGTAAGAGTTTTTGCAATTTTGTAAAACCAACTGGGAAATCACTCATTTATTTGTGATATAGAACAAGGTGCTATAGCATTGGATTGGGAATTTCCTTGGAGATCTGTGAGAAATTCACATGAAGTGAAGTGGAGTCCAGAAACAGACATAAGGATAAAAATCTTATCACATCTGCTCATGGGACATTGACCTCAAACCTTCACTGTCTGTGTGCTCTTTGGAGGGCCTTATGTCAGTGGTGGAGAGAAGAGGACCCTCAGCTGAACAGGGCCAAGCATACTGCACAGGATAGAGGAGTCCAGGAGCATCATCGATGTCAAGAAGATAAAACACACCCCATAGGATGATAGAATCTAAGAGTAACACCAAAGTTAGAAAGGCAAGGACATGTCCCCAAGGACCCTAACTGGCATGAAAAAGAGCACTAAGGGGGTGAAGTCTGGCATAGAGCAGCCAGAGGTGAATGCTGAACTGCTGTACTACTGTACATTGAGGTCAGCTTATTCAGTTCCTTGTGCAGGAGTTGATTTGATGTACCTGCAAGGTAGCCCAGGCCAGACCCTCCAGTGAAGTGTATTTGGCCAGAGATGATGGCCTGAGAGGATGGAAGACTGCTCTGAGCAGTGCTTTCTGGTGATGGGGAAAGCTAAAAGGAATCTTTACCTGGGATGGACAGCAGAAGAGTGAACCCTATATAGGGTACAAACTAGGGCACTCACGCCGAGCCTCTGCAAGGATTTCCTGAGAGATAAGTGGGACTCTCAGGTAAAGTGAGACCCTAAAGTCACTGGTCAGGTGCTCTCCATCCCGCTGGGATGTCCATTTTTCAGTGTCTTGCAGTGCGTTCCTGAGAACAACTTCTCCTGAGTCTAATTTGCTTCAATAGCCTTACAAAGGGGACAACTGGATGTGGCCAGTCATATTGGCCTGTTACACCAGTGATCAGATGGCTGCTGACCAAGAGCTTCTCCCTGCAGAGACACTCCTCACTGTCCCTTCATATGGCCCCTCTCTTATACCAGCACTGAATCTGGACCAGTTTACAATTATTTCCTCTTTGAAGGAAGTTTATGCTCATGTTTTTCAGTGTATGTATTTTGCATCTGTGATCAGCTAGCCTTGTTTCTAGGATGGTCAGGGTTTAATTACTTTTCTTTTGATTTTTTTAAAGGACCGAAGGTTGGGGCTGGCGAGATGGCTCAGTGGTCTAAAGCACCTACTTAGAACAAGCTTAGCAAAGCACAGGGACTACGGTTCAATCCCCCAGCACCACATGCCAGCCAGCCCCGCCCCCCTGGTGGGCTGAGCTAGCCCCACACACACACACCCACACACACACACATAAAAATAAATAATAAAAAATTTTAAAAAAAATAAATAAAGGACCGAAGGTTTATTTGGCTCATAGTTTGTAGAGGTTTCAGTCCATAGTGGTCCAGCTCTAGGGAAGGGTGGCCCAGGAGAGAAGTATCACTGAAGACAAGCAGAATGGCCAGGGTTTTAGGCCTCATTGTCATAGAAGCCTCGTGAGCCCTAAAACTAGACATTTAGTGACAGTGATATGACTAAACATAGTTGTTCCAAGGGAAGAGAAGCTGGCAAGAGGGGGAACATGGTTCTTCACCCAAATCCCAAGAGCTGTCAATTAGCTGGTCCCAGCAGGGACAGACTCCCTAGCATCTAATCAAATAATATATACTACTGGAGGGAATATACTAGAAAAGGAGATTAGTGAGTCACATTTTTACCTGATATTTTTTTCAGTTTTCAATCAACCTGAAACTTCCCTGAGAAATGTGCACACAAATTTTCCAGAAGAACCCAGGGTTAAGATACTATATGCCAGCCCCGTCCCCCAGGGTGCACTGAGACTTCGATGGAGACTGGGCACATGCCTGTAATCTCAGCTTTTGGGAGGCTGTAAACAGGCGGATCACTATCAGTCTGATCTAGTAGTAAGATCCCGAACACCCTATAGATCCTTCCTTAAAATACAAAAGAAAGAAAGAAAGAAAGAAAGAAAGAAAGAAAGAAAGAAAGAAAGAAAGAAAAAGATAATACAGAACCAGTTGCTTATCTCCAAATACTTGATCCATATTAGGCATCGCTCCAGGTGTTTTAATATATTTGTAACATTACACTGGTCCTACAAATAAAAATGTGTGCCCGGCCCATTTTATAAATGTAGAACATGAGGTATACTGGCCATGGAAACCCCTCAGGATCTCTATGTGCTAAATGACAAGGCCAGGCCTAGACTCTTAGTGGGGAACCATCTAGAGCCTACCCTGTTCCCATCCCTCCCAACCTGAACCAAGCTCTCTTTCTGAATTTAATTCTATAGTAAGAAAAATAATTAGCAATCTCCTAAGGTATATAAAGACCCTGCGTCCAAAGCACTGAAACGTCACCTCAGTTAGTACATGAACATAAACAGGCAGGGGGTTCACCCTACTCCCAGGGGAACGTCCCACAATCACCTGCTCTTGGTACCTAGAAGGTTCCACCTGTCCCGTTATTCACCCTGGAAAGCCTCCAATAGCAACAGGTTTGTTGACATAAAAGTTAACTTTGGAGTATGGTGTTTAGAGCCTGGATTATGTGTCTAAGAAGCAAAATAATGCACTCTCGAATGTACCACACGAGGTGATTGGTGTTTTTACATGGAGCACAATCTGCTACTTGTCATGTAAATTAAGATAGTTTTTAAGACAATCTTCACATTTTTATTTGATTGTGATGGAATGAGTTTCTCAAACACACACACACACAAACACACACACATTGGTATAAGTGGTCAAATGCAAAGCTGCCTGACAAGCTGTAGTTAAGGTGCAACAATGCTCACTTCAGTAGAGGAAAGTAAAACACGTCTGCTGCAGCTGAACTCCTAGCCTTTCTTCTCCAGTCTCTGGTGTGTGTCTCTCCCCCACATGGATATGATGATTTTCAATATGCTTAATGGCACCAGTCCTGATGTTCAGACAAGGACAATCATGTGCACTGTGGGAAAAACTTTTAGATTAGCAGACTGAGAATGAATTCAAAACAAAGAGAAAATCCTCAGCCTGCTAAGATTGACATGTGTATAATTCCCATTAAAGAAGAATCTCTGCCCCCCTCTCTTGTATGATCATCCACACAAGGATAGGTTGGCTCTGTGAGGAGTGGTGTCACTGGGGATCCAGCAGTGGTCCTTGTCCCTGGCAGGTCATTCATGTGGCAGCAGCAGTAGCTGGATAAGCCGGGATGACTGGGATCCCGTGCCGTGACCTCATACGGAGTGCGCGTTCCTTCCGTGTGGCTACTCAACACATCAGGATGCTGAACAGCACTGTTGTCAGTAACAGAGGCTGGCAGATACCAACCAGGTGGGCCATTCGGCCTTATTTGCTCACTGCATCTTTGGTCATGACTGCTCTTGTGAATGTTAACACAGCACAAATTTCTTCAATGTGTATCTTTTCCAATATGCTCAGCAGTAGACCTCTTCCTCCCATTCTGATCATCTGAATATTCCAATATTTTTTCATCTAGACCCCTGAACAACTTTCCAGAGCATTGACACTCTCTTAATTTCATCTGTATTCTGCCCCCAGCCCCTTTCTTCATACATATAAAAGACATCACTTTTGCCTTGTGCCAGTCTCATCCTCCTAGGGGAATTGACGCCCGCCAAAGTTTTTCTTATCTTCACTTTACTGAGGCTATGTCATAACAAGAATCTGTTTTTAGCTTGCAACTTAACTCCAGCCGACTCATCCGGTATGGTTTGCGTAAGTGCCATGGGTTCATGGATTAAAGGCTTAGTACACAAGCTGTGGGGACATTGAGCAGAGTGGAAACTTCAGAGATGGGAGCTAGTGCAATGTCTCAGGTCACTGGAGGAACACCCCTGAAGGGGGTTGTGGGGTGCTGGTCTCTTCCGCCCTCTCCCTGCTCCCAAGCTTCCATGAGGTGAGGAACTCCATCTAGAACAGGCCCCACCCTAACTTACTGACATAGCACATGCACCGAAGCTCTGCCCTCTGACAGTGGACTGATATGGACTGATACCTCTGAAACTGAAGAAAAATAAGCCCTTCTTTTTTATGTGCTCATCATCTGATAAGATTGATTGTTATAGTAAAAGTAAACAGGACAGATAAGAAAGGATTTTAAATATTTGATGCTGGGAAAATTTGCTAGCCATCTGCATGTAAATGAACCTAGACTGGCTTGCCAGATTCTATAATATCAGCATAAACTAGATGAAACTCTGATATTAAGCCTGAAACTATGAAACTAGCACAAGAAATCAGATCTGAAGTGCTTCGGAGCATCAGAATGGGCAAACGTCTTTTTTAAGAAAAAAGACCCCAACAGCACATATAACAAGAGCAAAAAAAGACAAATGAGCAAATACAGCTAAAGGCAGTTTTTAACTCTCATGCTCTCCATCTGGGGTCTTTAACAATTCACTCATGACTGTTTACATGTCCTACCCCAGTACTGGCTTCAGCTGTGCTTGCTTGCTTTCTTTCTATTTTGGTTTTTTTTTCCGAAACCGGGGATTGAACTCAGGCCCTTGCGCTTGCCAAGG